ACGATGAGGATTTGACGCACGATGGGTCTGCGGCTGTGCTGTCTGGCGTGTTGCGATTGCGACGCTTGACGTCGCTGAGCCTGTCAATGTGTCTGCTGGATGTGTTGCACGTGCTTCCAGAACTCGTTGCTGCGGGCCGCCACCTTCGCCGCCTCACCTTGAATACCATCGGGCGCGACAACTACGATCTGGAGAAGCGAGCGATCTGCGAGGCGCTGGCGCAAGTCCACGACGTCCCATTTGTGCTTCAGAGGCTGCCAAAAGCATGGACAAGTTCGTGGTCGACGCGCTCAGCCCACGCGCCGATCGTCGCCACAAGTGCGACTTGGATTTCTAAGTGTTCCAAATAGCAACTATTGTACTACACATTTTTGTTGGATTCCAGGTGGCGAGTGTGACACAGCAACTTTGTGGTTGCGATACTGCGCTTTGTGGTTCTGACGCGCCGTGTAGAGGTGCTTATACGACAGCCTTTCACCGCCGCTTGTAAAAAATCAGAAAGTGGAGCTCCCTCCGGGACTCGAACCTGGTGGTGGGCCAGTGTCCAAACCTCGACTAAAAGAAGTCGACGCGAACACAGCCTTCGTGACGTAATATTCCGACAACAACAAACCGTCTTCGGTGTAATAGCTGTGCACACTGTCACAATCCTATCCCACCTCGAAACCATTCGACTACGTAATTTAGGGCTATCGCAGAGCGGCATCAACCTTTCCAAATCCTTGCGACGCCTTGTCAGGCTGCCACGTACTCCAAATAAAAGTATCAATGTTTCGATTTTAGAAATGCAATCGACAACCGTTGCCTCGATCATCGTGCCCAGCAGTGCGTCCCGCGCCAACATCGTTTTCTGGCAGCGCCTTCAGGACATACGGGACGTCGTTGGCCCTCGGGCGATCCGTGCTACATGTGTGTACACACACCTGCAGTTTGTGCGTGGCACGACCTAGCTCGCCCAGAGTCGGGCGCACCGACAAAGACATAACGCCACCGCTTTGGCGCGAGTGGTGGCGTCGCATCCGCATCGAGTGTTCGGTCGACAGCGCAGTATCATTGGTTTCACTTGTGCCCATCTTTGGCCCCACGCGGAGCACCCTCATGATCGAGTTTGGCCGTCCTAGTCGACGGCCAATGGGGTTGGATCTGCGATATATTCTCTTGCAGCAGTGCTTACGTCTGCGCCAACGGAGCATCTACGGCGTGGGCCAGGAGGAGGCCACCATGTCGCTCAACGATCTGCTTGCAGGAGCTGTCACCCATCCGCACGTCAATCCGCTCCCTTTGTACGTACTTGGACGCTGCTAACACGCCAAGACTCTGATCCATAATGCTTCCTTCGTCGTAAACGAGGTGCCAGAAAATATCGGTGCAGACGTGGTCGACGCCCTTGGGCTGCGCGCCGATCGGTTCCGTCGCTGTCGCTTGGCGCTATAACTAGTACGAAGAAAGCAGGATGGGCATTGGAGTATGTGGATCGCATTCATATGGGAAGGTGCTTGCTTTGGGCTGGAGAGGGATAGTTTCTCGCGGAACGCGTGAAAGTGGGTTTTCGTACCATGGCCAAGCAAGGGCGCCATCTTATCAAAAAACGCAGGCCGATCGTTGGACACGTGGCCAAGCGGATGGCGAGGGACGCACATCAAGTGGCCCACTTGATGTGCGTCCCTCGCCGGCATTGTCTCTTCGTCCCACTTGAGGTGGGACGCGATAACAACACGGTTGTGAACGGACAAAGAATGTTCCCGCGAGCCGCTCGCCTTCTGAGCGGCGCGTGCGTTGGCTTTGCCCTGGCGCTGCTTTTGCACCCGCACAGCCTTCTCTTCAAGTGTCTCGCTCGCCTTTGTTGCTATTCTGAGATGGTGGTGGTGCACACAGACAACCCCGGCGCAACACCACATAGCGCAACGCCACAGAGCTTGAGCGACATGGCGCCAAGATGGTACACTGTAAGACTTTCGTACGGTTGTGCCACGTCATGGGCACCGCCAACCGCGCGACGGACGAAGCGTTTGTCGAGCTCAGTGTTTTCTGCCCGTTTTCGCCCACCTCCATGTCGAGACGCTGACCGTCGACCTCAGTTTCGCTCGCGGCTCTTGGCTCATGGCTCGTGACAGCGCCGGCGACGTCGCTGCACCACCTTTACATCGCGCGCATCAACAAAAACGCTACTATTGTCTTTTGTAATGCGCTTTAAGCCAGACCGACGCTCTTCAAGTTGAGTCTCTCCAACGTTCCCAGCCTTCGCGGCGTGCATTGGGTGGCTTGGCCGTGGTGTGTGCATTTGTAGCTTTGGATGTCGACCCTGCGACGTTTGCTTGCGTTGGATTGGCTATTGAAGATCGACTTTCTGCCAATCGAATCGTCAGCCGGATATGAAATTTCGAAGCTGGATTTCAAACACAAACCAAGATGACCGACGGCGAGATCAAGCAGAAGGCCGCCCGTGTGACGCTGCCAGACGCGCTCGCCCTTGCGCATGTCGTCGAGGCCATTGCCACGAGCTTGGACAACCAGAAGGACTTTAGCAGCTTTCTCCACGCGGTGCCACGCTCGCTCTGGAGGCCGGCGCTCACGGCCTTTCTCGACTGCAGCACGACAACGCCGCCTTCGGTCCACGCCTACTGGCCGCACATCAAGCTGCGCGACATGGACTTGCCGCCTTCGGTATTGGCGCTGCTAGCGGCGACGCTGCCGCTGCGTCCACGCATTGAGATCAAGTGCCCGATCCGGAACGCAGCGCAACTGGCCTCGCTCGTCGCCGTCCTCGGCCCTGCGCTCAGCAGCGTCCGTCTTCATTTTCTCGGCCACTACGTGGTCGATCGCCAAGTCCACGCGATCTCGAGTCTTCTCTTGCAGCGCTGCCCGCGTCTGCGCCAAGTGTCCATCCGCGTGGAGACCCAGTACCGGGCGACCGAGGTAGCCGAGCTCAACGGCCTGCTCGCTGTCGTCGCCCACCCGCATGTCCACGACTTGTCCCTCAGTCTTTTCAGCCTGCAGCGCGCGACCACTGTACCGCGACTCGGCCATCTCTTGGCTTCTTGGCTCTCGACGGCGCCAGCGACGAAGCTCCGATTGGTCTGTAACGTGGCAATGGACGACGATGCGATGATGGCCTTCTGCGATGCGCTGCAAGCCAACACGACCCTCCTAAAGCTCACTATCGGCCACGTCCCGAGCCTCAATGGCTTCCATGGCCGCACGCTCCCAATGTCGTTATGGAGCCTTGAGTGGAATGTGAACTCGAATGAAGTTGTCGACGCCGCAACGCTGACGGACCTTGCGACCGCCGTCGGCCGCACGCAGCTCGAGCGTCTCGAGTGCAACGTCTTTGGCCAGTTGGCGACATGCCCGGCCGCGGCGCCGATGCTGTCGCAACTGCAGTCGCTCATGGTCCATAAACTGGGCAATGGCACCATGGAGGCATTGATCGCGGGCTTGTCGTCGGTCCCGGCGCTGACATCGCTAGATCTTCGCAATTGCAACCTCTCGTCGTCAACGGAGCTGCTCATGGAGACGCTTGCGACGACGTGCATGCATCTCGAAACGCTGCTTGTCATCGATCAGCAGCCGACGCGCGATGGACTCACCGCTGTTCTGTCGGGCGTATTGCAATTGCCACGCTTGACGACGCTGAGCCTCTGGATGCCTCCGCGGTGTGCGTTGCATGTGCTTCCAGAGCTCGTTGCTGCGGGTCGCCACCTTCGCCGCCTCTTATTGATGGCCATCGGGCGCGACAACGACAAGATGGAAGAACGCGCGATCTACCAAGCGCTGGCACTGACCCACGACGTCCCATTTGTGGTCGACACGCTGCCAGAGGACATGGATGGCTCCGTCGTCGACGCCCTCAGTCCACGCGCGGATCGGTCCAGCCGTTGCTACTTGTTTCTGTAATCGTGCGAGACCATAAAGTGTTGTTGAGCGTGTTTCTGCATTGTGGAGTTGTGAGCTCGCTCTGAACTGCGACCGTCCTCCGTGCTTTGTATCCGGATAGGACGACGAGTTCCGAACGGAGATGGCTCTTGTTGTTGGCATTGATGGTAGAGCTCTGGACGACGTGGATAGTTGCGCTCAAGGTGCGGGGCTGGTACCGCAGCATGTGGCGTCCTTACGCAGAGACCACTTTTTTAGCGCGATGAGCTGGCACGCTGCGAGCGTGTTTTATGACACGCGAAACGCCTGCGACATGCATTCCGTCGCGCCCTTGGCGAAGCTTCGCGGCACTTTGAGCGTTCTCTGTGTTGCAGCGGAGGGCCCCCGAGAGTCTCTTTCTGGAGCATGGACCATGCTGAGAAGTCGTCGTGTGCTGCTGCAATTAGTCGATGCTACGAGGTACTCACTCCACCCGCCACCATTGCCAACGACATTGATGACCTGTGTGGCGTACTAGGTACCAGACACGTACCAGAAGACGTCATCTCCCAGCCCAACGAAGGAAGTGATGAAGGAAGAGGAAGATGATCCTCGAAATGTGTCCCATCGCGTTCTTGTGGTCGGTGCGTGTCTCTCGGCCGCGTACGCTCGCAGTGCTTTGTGCATTTGGCTAAAAGCACGCAACTTGAATGCTGCAGCACGCTCTCGCGGAGCCTGTTTCGCCTTCCGTACACGCCGCACGCTGGCTGTTGCATGCGTCCGCTGCTTTAATCGGTCATGGCATGGTCATTGCCGTCCGTTGGACGTGCCATGGCTTTGGCCTCTACGATTGCCACGCCCCTTTTGATCAGAAGTGGCCTACGTTTTTGATAATGGGCACTAGTGTGCACAATCTATGCACTATGCGCCCGCGATGTGGATGGAGGGTATGGTAGCGCAGATGCAAATCGCTAGCAGAGCTGCTAGCGCTGGCACGGCCTCGCAGGAGGCGTGGCATATCGCCTTCCGAGCCTTAAAGGGGGTGCATTTATCCAAGGACGCCGCCCGTGCCAGGTGCTATCCGGACGTTTATGCGGACAGTCTTATCGCACCACAAAATCCCCATTTTGCTTTTTCGCCGGAAATCCATGGACGCGGCGAGCTTGACGGCCAAGATCGCGGACCAGGGCGCCCTCGTCCGCGACCTCAAGGCGAAGAAGGCCTCGAAGGAGGAGGTCATGGCGGCGGTCGCGGGCCTTCTCGCGCTCAAGACGACCTTCAAGGAGGTCACGGGCGCCGACTACGTCGACCCGAACGCCAAGCCGGCGGCCGAGAAGAAGCCCAAGGCGGCGGCGCCTGCGCCGGTCGCGGACCCGACCAAGAAGAGCAAGAAGGAGCTCAACAAGGAAGCCAAGAAGGCCAA